GCGTGTGGGGGTGGGGGTGAGGTATGGTTTATTACTAAACACCCAATAACCATTCTACTCGTAGCATAAGGTAGCATATACAAATAGACCATTTGTTCAGAATAAAAGACTTCACTTGGTTCTTTGAATCTTCAAGGGCTCCCTCCGCCCCCCGCCCCCCGCGAATTAGTCACAGAATAACAATTATATTAAACACACAAAATCACTGTTTCTTGAAATACTTTCTGCATTTGGCTTTCAGTGAAGCCACACTTAGCTCTCCTCACTCGCTGGCTCTTCTCAGTCTCCTGTCCTTTACTCGGCAATGTCTGCGTGACCTTGAACAGGTAACATCATCTCTCCGGCCTCCCACCTGAAGGAGACGCTTTTAGCAAAGTCATCGCGCACTAAGTGAGAACTACTATATTTTGTTCACTGTTACCAACTACCACAAAACTCGGCTCCGCGCGTCGGCGCTGGCCCGGCCCGAGGCGACCCCGCCGCCGCACCTCAGAAGAGGGCGAGGCGCGTCGGGAAGGCCGTGGAGAAGGTTGAGCAACGCTGGCCACGCCCGGAGCCGGACCCCGACTTTCCGGGCGGAACGGCCTCGCTCTCGCGCAGTTCAGGCCAGGACGACGCGAACGGAAAGCGGGCGGTAACGGCTCCGGCGAGGCACCGCCTCCTTCCGTGAGGGGAACGCGTGACACCGCCCAGCCACTTCCGGCGTGGCGCACCTTTCCTCCCATCCTCCAACTGCACTTTCGATGAAACCATGGAGTCTAATATTTCCCTTTGGCGCCTCTATGTGTTCTTCATTTCCCCCTCTTTATGATTCAACTTGAGGATAAAAATTAATCTCGGAGCTATTAGACACAGACGTGGCTACGGAAAGGAAGGGGCACGTGAGCGGCCCTGGCGAAAGTGCTTGGCAGGAGCACGTCCGCCCTCTCCTCACCGGAAGTTGCGGGACTGAATGGGCCCTCGAGCCGGCGGCGGCTTCAGCTCGGTGAACACCTGAGGCTTAGCGGCCGCCTGTTGTGTCTGCCGCTGGGCCACCAGGTTCATGTGGAGGCTCCCAGGCGCCCGCGCCGCGCTTCGTGGGGTCCGCGCGGCGGTGGAGCGACACAGCCAGGCGGAGCCGGCGG